TTCACTCTCCACTTCATAATATCAACTTCATTCTAAACAATTAGAAAGAACAAATTATACATGTATCCACAAACATAAAGAATATTAGTTGTTTAAGGAAGAATATTATTTAGAATATAAAATATACCGGGAAAGTAATTATATGTGTGTGAGCGGGTACCCATGGGGCGGGTTTACCTAAATCCAAACCCAACCCGACCCGGTGAATAGTGTAGCGGGTTTAAACCCGAGCCGGGCCCAAAACCCGTCAACACGGGTTTTACCCGCATTGACCGGGTTGGGTCGGGTGGGTACCCGTGGGTTCGGGTTTTGTTGTCATCCCTAATTGGGGCTGCCTACAGTCCCCTGAGTGATCCCGCCCACACTGGTTGCAAAGACCTCTGTTGCTGAAAGTTCCGCGATTACAAATTTTAGTACGCAACTGTCAAGCCAACCGATCACGTATTAAGGTCGAAGCTAAACTTAAATGTCGGAGTGTTACATTTCCTCCACCCTTATAAAAATTTCGTCCCCGAAATTTGGAACAGGAAAGATAATTACTTGGTCTTAAACTTTTGGTGTTTGACTAAAACTTCTCAAGATAGGATATAACATTTCCCTCCCCCTTAATAAAATTTCGACCTTGAAATTTGGTCAGAACTAATTTAATAGGTTTGGTACTGAGTACTAAAACTGAAAGTGCGTCTTTCAAAGAAAACAACCAACTAGTGGTCTATGCTTAAAGAAAATACTCCTTCTCCACAGTCTTCCCCTATCTTCTCAAGATCACATCAATGTGCTTGCTCGTCCCCTCCATCATCACCATGATCTCCCTCTATCCCTCGCCTGACAAAAACCCTCGGTAGGCAAAATCGCGCTTTAAAACTTAAAAACTTACGATTTACGTTTATAGGTCATTAAAACGCTTATACACAAAATCTCAGTTTTTATTACTTATTGTTAGAGTTAGTCAATAGAGTTGTAATACCACATTGATGGGAGAAGAAAAGTATAAGAATTGAGTATTTTTGGCAGTTTAATTAATTAATTAATTTTTATATTAATTAGTTAGCGTTTGAATATTGTGAAAAGAAGTGTCCTTCTAGAAAGGTAACTTCCCTTTTCTGTGAAAGGATGTGTCCTTTCGGGAGAGGTAACTACCTTATTTTGTGAAAGAATGTGACTATTCGGAAGGTAACTTCCAGTTTTCACAACTATAAATAGATGATTGCCATAACTCTTTTGAAAAAGAGAGATTACTTCTTCTTCCCGTTTTCCTTCTCTATTTCATAAACACAGAAGTCTGCAAGATTGCTGCTTCCAGACTTAAAATTGAAGGGACTCCTGGGGGTGGTTTGCTCGAGCCTACCAGCAATTTGTAGTGGGGGCAAATAACACTCTAAGGAGAGTGATTAATCACGCCTTCAATCGATTCTTTCCTACCAGTTCCTGACAATCTTAGAGTGTTATTTGTTGTTGTTGAAAAATGGATTCCGTAGTAAAGAATACATTGAAGGCATGGCAATTGGCAAGAAAAGGAAAAAAAAGTATTCTGACGTTCATTAGAATTGATTTGGTTATCGAAGAAGAAAACAAGCAAGCATTCGACATTCATTTCTTGGAAGAGGAACTGAATAAATGTCTGTCATTTAAAGGTACGTGTCTCTGCAAAGGAATTATTTCCTGGTTATATAGATATATCGTTGGAGTTGCAGAATGGTTATGTTATTTATGCAATCATCGAAAGGAATATATATATGGGCATCACTAATTGGCAGAAATTGCTTGACGTTGTTGTTTGTACACGAATATATATTGGAGTCTGGAGTACTGCTTTTATATGTGGCTAAAGGTTTGGCACAGATTAATGGTCGTAGGTCATGGATCAATTAATGATTAATTAATCAGTTTTTCCATGATTGGATATATATATATGCTTGCAGAAAGGTATATGTATACATTAGGGAGGTGTATATATATATACATGTCTTAATAGCGGCCATATATGTGTCGGTTCTGTACAAATTGGAAAATGCATATGGGATTGGATTTATCAGTTAAGTGGCCATGTAATTTGTTGTTTGCAATTTGTAGTTTCTGAAAGTGATGTAGTGACTCTACACGTTGGCTTTCTTGCTTCGAGTACTACAGAGGAATAATTAACCAATTGAGTTTGGTTAGTGAGATCAAGTACTTTTGTAGTACTTGAGATGTGAACGAACTCATAATTCGTATTATGAGAAGAGTTCGAAAGAGTTCAATTTGATTGAATATGAAAGAATTCTTGATGGAGTTCTTAAAACAAATTTTGTCGCCAAAAATTTGTATGAGTTTCAATATTGATGCTCGCAAGATGTAACAATTTTGTTTATGTAACAAAATTGTTTGAATAGCGATCTTGAAGTATATTGAAATAATGGTGGCAAAGCGTTTCCCCGATATGGTAATTTGTTTATCATGTATGTGATTTATGTCTTGGGAAAGGAAACTAAGATGGATCCTTATATGGATTGAATAAGCTTGCCAAGGAATGGTAATTATCAAAATAATCATTGCCAGAATTGTTTATGGTGTATGTACGCTATACTATTGGAAAACAATTTGACTTGTGATTATGATTGTGAAGCTATTTGTCAGAATTGTTTATGGTATATATAGACATATACCATTGGCAAACAATTTGGCTTGAGAAATAATTGAGACAAGTTTATTGAATTTGAAGTCTGAATTACTTATGGTATATGTCTGAATTTATACCATTGGCAAGTAATTAGACGATTGACTTAGAATATTCATTTGAATTGCTTGTGGTATACCAAGTTACCTTCATGAAATGTCATTGGTAAGTAATTAGAAGGTATTTCCAATACAATATGGAAATGCAACTGAATTACTTGTGGCATCTCAAATTGTTTTGACCAATACCATTGGAAAGTAATTAGATGATATTTCTAATAATATCTGAATTGTTTGTGGTATGCTAATTCAATTAGTTCATACCATTGGTAAACAATTAGATCAATGTAGTGGTTGTGAGAGTTCAATAAGTAAAACCATGGAAAATTAAAATGAAATTATTCCATGATAGTTCGGCAAGTGGAAGAATTGTGGGGGAGATGTTTTTTATGCTAGTTGAATAAAAAGTGCGAGTGAAATAAATCTACAACGGGTAGATTTTTACACTAGGTGGTGGAGTTGTTTCTTGGGCTTCAAAGAAACAAATGTGTATTACACTCCACCATGGAAGATGAATTTCTAGCCCTTCCGGCGGCGGGAAAAGAGGCAGATGGCTAAGAAACATATTGTTAGATAAAGAGTTGTGGCCACAACCTGATGTTAGCCATTTCTGTCTATTGTGATAGTGATGCTACTTTGTCTAAAGCTTATAGCAAGATTTACAATGGTAAGTCTAGACATAATAGCCTAAGACATGGTTATGTTAGATATTTGATTATTAATGTAATCATTTCTATTGTGTATGTAAGATCAAGCAATAATTTAACAGATCCTCTTGCCAAGGGATAGCCAAGAGGCATGATCTATGAGACATCCCAAGGGATGGGATTAAGACCTTTTTGTGTAGTTAGAAGTAACGGGAACCCAACCTTTTCTTTAGGTATTCACTAATTAAAAGGTTCAATGTGGTAATAACAAGTTACTCTAACAGAGGCACTAATTTATTGTACAAGTAAATTAGTCCAGAGAAGGGTGAGTTATAGAACTCTTGAGATGAGTTATAGAACTCTTAATGAATTCATTTGGAATGTCACCTATGTGAGCATTAAGAGTGGTGCCGCTCTAACAAAAGTAGAGGTCAACTTTTGTATATGCTCATGAAACAGGATTAGCACATGGCCATAATAGTGCTACCCTAGTTGGTGGTTGTGGTTTAGAGAAGAGACAAGTACGTGTGTGGCATCTCCGGTTATAGCTTTGGATCGTGACTCCTAGGCTTAAGCCCGTCACTGATTCGTTATCAACTTTGAGTTGCTTACACTAGGTAAAGGTTCAAATCGAAAAGATACCTTTATGTATGCGTTACTTGTTCGAGGCAGGTATTCTCAACTCTTGTTGACTAAGTGGGGGATTGTTAGAGTTAGTCAATAGAGTTGTAATACCACATTGATGGGAGAAGAAAAGTATAAGAATTGAGTATTTTTGGCAGTTTAATTAATTAATTAATTTTTATATTAATTAGTTAGCGTTTGAATATTGTGAAAAGAAGTGTCCTTCTAGAAAGGCAACTTCCCTTTTCTGTGAAAGGATGTGTCCTTTCGGTAGAGGTAACTACCTTATTTTGTGAAAGAATGTGACTCTTCGGAAGGTAACTTCTAGTTTTCACAACTATAAATAGATGATTGCCATAACTCTTTTGAAAAAGAGAGATTACTTCTTCTTCCCGTTTTCCTTCTCTATTTCATAAACACAGAAGTCTGCAAGATTGCTGCTTCCAGACTTAAAATTGAAGGGACTCCTGGGGGTGGTTTGCTCGAGCCTACCAGCAATTTGTAGTGGGGGCAAATAACACTCTAAGGAGAGTGATTAATCACGCCTTCAATCGATTCTTTCCTACCAGTTCCTGACACTTATTTAGTTAAAAACTTCGCTTTAAAACTTAAAAACTTACGATCTTACACTTCTAGATCACCAAAACGTTTCTACGTAGAAACTCGCTTTTGACTACATTGGGGGTAGGGATGGCAATGGGTCGGGTTGGGGCGGGTTTTGTCAAACCCAAACCCATGGGTTTATCCGCCAAAAAAAACGGGGTAAAACCCGTTGGGTTTGAAAAACTCAAACCCAACCCAACCCGCTGGGTATCCGCGGGTTCATGGGTACACGTGGGTTTTTGTGATAAAAAATTTACAATAACAATTTTCTTTCAAAATAAAAGTTTAACATCAATTTTCTCATAGAAAAAAACACCAATCTAGAGTAGATAAGCAAACCGCAAATAATCAATACAAATTTTTCAAAATTAAAGATAAACATCTATAAACAATAAGATTAATTGAAAGCTTCTTCCTCGTCAACTAAGTTTCTTCACTCTCCACTTCATAATATCAACTTCATTCTAAACAATTAGAAAGAACAAATTATACATGTATCCACAAACATAAAGAATATTAGTTGTTTAAGGAAGATATATTATTTAGAATATAAAATATACCGGGAAAGTAATTATATGTGTGTGAGCGGGTACCCATGGGGCGGGTTTACCTAAATCCAAACCCAATCCGACCCGGTGAATAGTGTAGCGGGTTTAAACCCGAACCGGGCCCAAAACCCGTCAACACGGGTTTTACCCGCATTGACCGGGTTGGGTCGGGTGGGTACCCGTGGGTTCGGGTTTTGTTGTCATCCCTAATTGGGGCTGCCTACAGTCCCCTGAGTGATCCCGCCCACACTGGTTGCAAAGACCTCTGTTGCTGAAAGTTTGACTAGGCCGGATCGAGCCGGTCTGACTCTGAGTACCCCCAAAGCTAATAGTACCACTCGGCCTCCTTCTGTACTAACTGGGCTGGCCAGACCACTATGCCATGCTACTTGCCTTTCTCTTGCTTCCCACTTGTTGTATCCCTTCTTCATGCACAGCTGTTTCAGCCCTCTCTATTCGAAGAGCCTCCTGATAAATCTCCTCCCGACTGTTTCACGCTATCATGCTCAACTGCTTCTTAAGGGCAGGCTTCAAACTCTCCAAATAATGGGCACGTTGAGATGCCGCATCCTGGAACTGGGGTCACCCGTAGGGCAACAGCTTCTCGAACCTGGAGGTGTATTCTGCAACACCCTCCTCTCCTTCATTGCCCCATCCTTGCTTGATCAGCAAAAACTCCCTCTTCTTGCTCAGTCGATAGGCTTCTGGTACATAGTGATCCCGGACACCCGCACCAACTCTGGCCAAGTGATACCTGGTGGGTCTTCCTGGCTAGCTAGCTGGGTGCACCACCAATTGTATGTTGAATCCTGGAGTAAGGATACTATCAGTAGCACCCTGTCCTCATCATCTGCCCTCATTTCACTTAATGTGCGCGAGACCTTCGCCAGGCATTTGTCTACTTCACAAGCATCCTTCGAGCGGTCCCCATCTAAATTAACCACTCCTCGCCTCCGGAAAGCCTCATAATTCGGGGGTTGCCTAACTGCCGCGTGGTTAACATTGATGTTACTTGCTCTGCAAGTAAGTAGTACCCTTATTAGAACCACATTAATGTCTTATCATACTCTAGTATACTGGGGACTCTATGAACCTTTTCAAATCGGTTGACCAACCATTTTTCTTGAAATTTTCCCTTTTTTCCTTTAAAACTAAACCTTTGACAACCCAGATCGTCACTCCAGTATTCCTTGGAGACCAAGAAATAGAGGAATGTCGGCTCTGATACCAAAATTAAATGACCCGATCCTTTTTGAAAACCAAACCATAACTCAAACCACAAACCGGTTACTCCGGAGCAACCCAAAACAGATTTACAAGTCCAAACCAAAAATCAACAACAACAATTTTTTTAAGATTCTCAAGTGAAATGCCCTAAACACTTGGGCGACCTCAATCCAGAGCAACAAAACATAAAACACAATCCTTGAGTTTCCCAGTATATTCATTAAGACATGAAACTAAAAACAGATATATTGGAGTCCCATCTCGTTACCCTAATCCAGTTGACATCCTCAGGTTTGTCGCGGCTGCTCTCCTCGGGTAACCTCCTCTTGATGGATGCGTCCTCTTCCCCTCTCTGCACTTGGTGAGTGAGAAGGGATCAGTCTCGTCGTTACTTCCTAAGGTCTTCGCCCTAAGGAACTCCTTACTAAACACATTATTCGGGTTCTTGACTTAGACAAAAGCCGTTCTTGCTTTCATCCTTTATACTTTTTTTATCAAACAGTACGTCTATAAGAGATCTCTACTCCTAACTTATCTTTAGAAAAACAGTACGTCCAAAGACACCAACACTAGGGACCACCGCGTTACGTCTCGCCGTCCGGTGTCCCAACCCTAGTATGTCAACCGTGTTACGTCTCTTCATCCGGTTGCATACCCAAACTCGGCAATGGCACTACCTTACGTCACGGCGTCCAATCCATGCACGTCAACTACTACGTTACGTCTCGCCGTCAAGTAGTGACCCAACCGCCCGGGGGTTCATCTTACTATCAACGACCTATTATAATTATAGGTGTCAGTCGGGCGGGTTCGGGTCGGGTTCAAACGGGTCGCGGGTTGCGGGTAAACGGATTGCGGGTCAAGTGGGTTCAGGTTGATCGGATTGCGGGTCAATCGAGTTGTGGGTTGATCGGGTTGCGGGCTAATCGGGTTCGGGTTGGACAGATCGTGGATCTATCGGGTTGCGGGTTGATCGGGTTGTGGATTAATCCGGTTCGGGTTGATCAAATTGCGGGTTACTCAGGTTATGAACAGGTCGGGTTGCGGATTTTTCGGTCCAAATCATCGAGTTATCTTTTTTAAATAATTAGTTATTACACAATTAAAAACAAACTCACCAATCACTATTTTGCAATGAAGGAACACAATTTGTTGTTTCATTTTGGGAATGTTTTAACAAGCTTGAGTTAGGCCTTTCTTTTACTTCTTAACTATTGAGTCAATTGATTAAAGAATTAAAAAAACATAAATATACATTTATGGTTAATATATATATACATATGGCAATATATATGTTCTTTTGGTAACAGAGGCGTTTACAGATTTGAGAATTTGGTGGAGGGAGACTTGTCAAATCAAAAAAAGGAGGGAGCGGGTTTGGGAATTTGGACAGGGAATGCAGACTTGTCCAAAAAAAATGGAGGGAACTAGGGAAAATATTTGGGGGTTTTCAAAAGTGTTTTTACAGGTTTGGGAGGGAATTTTATAACAAATATTTGGAGGGTTTTCAAGAGTGATGTTTACATTTTAGATTAAAAAAAATTTCAACTTTTTGGTGAACATCTAATTCTACCTTTCTTTAATATTTATTATTATAGATGATAAATAAATCTTATATTGATTAGCTAGTTTGTTGTCTAACCCGTTGGTCAGAATGTCATTTGAATATGATATATTTATGATGTACATTCTAAAGTTTTCAAAATATTTGAAATTTATATTTCTACTCAATAACTAAATTAGTTGTTAAAATTAGGAGTGTTCAAATGGTTAACATGGTTATAACCAAACCAAATAAGACTAAATTCCATTAACCATGGAATACAATATCATAACCAAACCGTCCAAACTAATACAACAACCAAATTAACCAAACTAAAGTTTAATTAGTTTGGTTAATTGGTTAACCAGATTAACCAATATAAAATCACATTATCATTAACGATGAAAATTTTCCGGTTAATGCAACAATTCGCAATTTATATAATGAATAAAACATAACAATCAACACGTAGTTATAGTTAACCCTTAACAAAAATACATGCAGCTAAGACAATTATCTTACGATTAGTATAAAAGTATTCACCTAACAAAAAATTATGACAATGTTATGGGTTAATGAAATGTTGTGCTTGTGTAAATTGACTTAGTCTCTTAGCAATTATCATAGGCTGGAAATGACCTTCCTTTCAAGTTTTCATTCATCATAATGTATGAAATTTATCTAAATTAGGCGTCCATATGTTGTGGTCTAGACTTTACATATACAAATATACACTATATGAGCAATATTGAGCTTTATATTTTATGAGCCTAAAAGGGATGAACGTTAACTCTTGAGTGGTTATGCAAAGTATTATGTGTATATAATATATGTTAGATATATGACTAATTACTTAACTGAATAATTTGGTTTGACTGGTTAGGAGTGTCTGAAACCAAACCAAGCCACCTAAACCAAACAAGCTAAAAACTTTAACCAAACCAAACCAATTATCCAAATTAACCAAACCAAATTATCCAAATAGTACCGGTTAAAACGGTTACCACGATAACCAAACCGTTTGAACACCCCTAGTTAAAATCGAATTATATCATAAAATATGAAAATCGAAAAGTAAACCCCAAACAAATACTAACGAAAGAGTTAGTGGGCTAGTTATCCTTAACGAAAGTCATATGTGTTTAAGATTTTAGGTTTCTATGATGAAATTGTTGGTAGAACATATGTTATGTGAAGAACGTAAGTTAAGTCAATTTTATATTAGGTTATTGTGAAGACTATACGTCCTAATCCTCCTAAGCCTAAACCATGACCTCTAACCCTAAACCCTGAACTCTTGTTACATGTCATGAAATTGTTGGTAGAACATAGGTTATGTGAAGAATATAGGTTAAGTCAATTTTAGATGTTATATTATTGCGATTCTATATAAGTCATAATCCTAAGATTCCTAAGAGATCCACATCAATGCAATTGCAAGGTCAATTACATGTGAAGTTCTTTTTTCCACTTCAATATTTTTGCAATCCAACTCATTTGAATGTCATTGCACTTACATCAATGCAATCTGCTTGCAATTACATACGAAATTAAATATTATGACTTGAATTATAGAAAATAAAATTATGTCCCTACCCCTTTTAATGAAATACCACAACCAATAACCCTCAAAAGTTACAACCAAACTAGATATTTAAATACAAATAACACACAAATACTACTTCCCCTAAATGTGATGAGTTATTTTAGTATACTAATACCACATTCATGCGTAACTCATCCAAACGACCCTCAAGTTTAATTTAAGTCAATGTGTTTTTTTTTCATATTAAGTCAACTTTAGATTTTTTATAAAATAAATTGTAAGGATGGTCTTCCTAAGTTTTGAACCATTAATTATAAGTTACTTTTTATTTTGAAATTCAGTGTACAAAACGTAAAAAAAATGCTTTAAGTGCGTTTTGAGTCTAGAACTTTGAATTGGAAAGACTATCACAGAAGCCAACTAGTTCCAAACCAATTTGTCACAATTATAACTTGTTGTTTATATTATCATTTGAGAAAGTTTTAGGTTGTGAAAAATAATAGGTCAACCTACGTGTCTATTAATATTATTATGTGATTTAATTTAATAGGAATTGTCAACTGTCAACAAAATGTAATAAGGCTTTGTTGCTGGCGAGAAAGATGAAATTCAGTAGCAATTGTCAACAGTCTCAACACAAAGTAACACTTTGTTGTTGGCGGGAAAGATAAAAAAATGCAAAGCCCCTTAATTATATATATATTTTATCCACATATAAGATTTATACACTACAATATATTATATAGTATTATTATTATCCGTGTCAATCGGGCGGGTTCGGGTTGGGTTTATCGGGCTCGGGTTAATCGGGTTGCAGGCTGAGCGGGTTGTGGGTCAAACGGGTTGCGGGTCAAACGGGTTCTGGGTCAAGCGGGTTCGGGTCAAGCGGGTTGCGGGTCAAACGGGTTGCAGGTCAGACGGGTTGCGGGTCGGGCGGGTTGCGGGTCATTGACTTTTAGTCAAATCGGGTTGCGGGCGGGTTGCGGCTCGGTTTGGTTGAGCGGGTTACTCGGGTCGGGTCATGTTTTGACATCTATAATTACAATCATACATCCATACATTCATACATAGCACAACGCGTGCCTCCGCCCTTACAGGCGGTGGGATGCCTCACACACTTATCGAGCAAACTCATAAATTAACTAATGAATAGTTTGAACGAAAAGCATAAACTAAAAGACCTACAATAGAGATTTTAGCCCCTTTACAATCACTTCGAAAGGATGACTCTTCGATTCCTTCTTCGACGAAACCCCTCCTTAGCCGGATTATCTTTGGGAAACCTATTAATAAGAATCCATTTTCATAGACAACCTTTCTTGATTTAAAAACCCTTTTGAATTACTAGGACATCCTCTCCCCAAACTCCAGTCCTCGAGCCTCATTCCAAAGGTTCCTTAACCCCCATTAAATATTTTCTAGAATTAATCCCTTGAAAACCGACCATTTTTCTTAATTATTTTTATCTTGGAAGAATTTTTCACCTAACTAGAACCTTCTTTACATTTCGGATAATAATTTTTATATGTCAATAATGAGCACCTATACACTGAAAAATTAACAAATCCTTAAAAACCCCTCGGAAATATTTTTATTTAATTAAAATGAATATTAAAACAATTTCTAAAAATAGGAATTCATCTTTGAAAATCCCCAAATTAAATCACAGACGTCTCCTAGACCTCCCTCAATTTATAAAATTATTAAACCCAGGGAAAAATCCACAGAGGCTCGAAACAATTTAAAATATCTAATATAAGCTTATTCAAATTCCAAGCAGCTTTAGTGACCACCCAAAATTTGTCATTAAAAGCCTATACATCTGTTGCTAAAAACTCAGAATTGCACCCTGACGAAAAATCCCCACATTAATCGACCTAACTTAAAGGGATTGAGTTCCCTTACCTCTACAACGTGCCTAGGCCTAGGTTGGAAGACCCGAGGCGTTGATCTCCTTATTGATCGAACCCTCAAACGTCACCGCTAATAAAATACGAGTTTCGGATTAGACTATCGATGAATCGAGTTTAGAAATCGCGAAGAGGTTCGTGATCCTTACCTAGAAACACGAAAGGGATGAGATCGGGATCGGGGTCAGGATCGGGATGGGCTGTGACAGGTTGGGGGGGGGGGGGGTTTGTTCTATGGGGAGATTAAATGGGAGAGGGTTGGGGGGGGGGGGGGGGGAATGACAGGGTTTGGGGAATTTAATTGAGGGCCGCTCGGCCCCAAGTATATATATATATATTAGGTGGCTTCTACGGTCCCTCGGGTGAAATCCAGGGTACCGTATACCTTGAGTATGAAAACACTATCTAGACCTCGAAATAGAAAAAACTTTGGGCTTGGTACTATACCCTAATCCTTATTGAGTGAACCCTAGGTCCTAATTATCTAAATCATAAACTATAAACCCTAAGACGGAGCATTCATTTTTTTGCCTATATTTGGACGAATCATAGCCGTCGATTATTGTTTCTAATTAAATTGATATTGGAGTATAAGATTTAGGGAGCTAAGACCTAGATTTTGATCTTTAAGGGTTAGAGTATGATATCATGTCCAAAAGATCAATCAATTCAAGGTCTGGATAGCGTTTTATACTCAATGTATGCGGTACACCGGATTTCACTCGGGGTACCGTAGAACTCGCCATATATATTATAATAAAATAAGAATAGTTATTATTATTATTATTACTAATCCGCTATTGTAATTTTTAGTACGCAACTGTCAACCCAATCGATCACGTATTAAGGTCGAACTTAAACTTAAATTTCGGAGTGTTACATTTCCTCCACCCTCATTAAAAATTTCGTCTAAAAATTTGGAACAGGAAAGATAATTACTTGATCTTAAACTTTTGCTGTTTGACTAAAACTTCTCAAAATAGGATATAACATGAGATACGGCCCGCCTTCCCGTTTGCCATTTAACAGCGGGCTTCATCTCCTACACTTCTTCGGGTGATCTACCACAAACTTGGGCCTAACCTTCCGCTACGGCCCACTACTTAAGGTCGGGAAACCAAGCCCCTATTTTTTTTTGCTCCCTAGTAGCAATAAGCCACGGAATGAGCCTTAAGCTTAAGCACAAAAGACTAAGTGCTTGGGCTGTATTGAATTAAATTGGGTTGGGTTCTAAATCGTGTAGCTTC